GCCATGCAAACAGGTGGTCGGGGGGCTCGCCACCGCCGGCTGCCGCCGACCGGCCCTCCCCCGAGGCAGAAGATGGCTGAGAGCAGCCTCCCTGCGGGATGGAGGTAGCCGGCCCTCGGCGGAGCCGGCGTGCGGGGAGGGCTCCTGCCCGCTGTGCTGCGAATCCTCCCGCTCCGTTGGTGGGGCGGGCAGCTCCGACTCGGTAGGCGCAGGAAGGATCTGTCCCAGCCTCACCTTTCGTGCTCTTTGCGGTTGGTTTAACCCGTCTTTCCTATGGCTGGGATATACAGCTCTACTCTGAAGACCCTGGAGGATTTAACTTTGGACTCTGGTTATGGGGCAGGGGATTCCTGCAGGTCCCTTAGTCTCTCTTCTTCCAAGTCCAATTCCCAGGCTTTCACCTCTTCTCAGCACAGAGGCAACTGGTGGTACTACTCGGGCTCCATGAACAGTAGGAATAACAGCTGGGATACCGTGAACACTGTCCTGCCGGAAGACCCCGAGGTTGCAGATATCTTTTCCAAGTGTCCTAAACTGCCGGATCTAGAGGAATACCCATGGACCGATGAAGACATTGGAAAAATACTCAGAAAAGGGAAGGGAGATGGTAATACCAGAACCTTTTCGCAGGAAGCTGTCAGGCGCCTTTCGCAGTTACTGAGGCGCGCCTTGATCAGAGTCTCCAGGGAAGCTCAGCGGCTCAGCGTGATGCACTCCAAGTGCACCAGGTTTGAGGTGCAGAGCGCTATCAAGCTCATTCAGAGCTGGTCCTTGTCGGAAAGCTGTGTCCTGGCGACTGTCAAGGCGCTTTCTCTGTACAGCATGAGTGCTGGAGACGGACTGAGGAAAGGTAAATCAGCCAGATGTGGCCTTACCTTTTCCGTGGGGAGGTTTTTCAGGTGGATGGTGGACACTAGGATCTCGGTTAGGATCCATGAGTATGCAGCCATCTCTTTAACCGCTTGCATGGAAAACCTTGTAGAAGAGATTAAGGCTAGGGTTTTGGCAAGTCAGAGCCCGGATGGTGGAGGAGGGGAGATCTCGGCTGAAATCCTGGAGATGGTTATCAACAACGATGCAGAACTTTGGGGAGTGTTGCAGCCTTATGAGCATCTCATCTGTGGGAAAAATGCAAATGGTAAGATCTAGCTTTCACAATTTCTAATCTCTGTACCAGCAAGTTTTACTGTAAAATCATTTTTGGTTTTTCTTTTAATCTGAATTGCATCTTGCTCGTGGTTTCTGTGTGCGTAAAGCAGACACGACAGTTTCACGAGGCAAGAATGATCCTCCTTTATTCTTAAGACATACCAGTTTATAAAAGGTGCAGAGGCTGTGGGAAACCAAGCCCTGTTGTCCTAACAAATGTCTCCTGACTTTCTACCAGCTGGTGTTTTGAGCATTTTTACTGTAACTGGCGTGTCAATGTGCTTCTCTGTAACCTTAAAATGAAATGTGCTTTACAAGCAGCTCTTCAGAATATACCGCTATTGTTTTTATACAAAATTTCCATTATAGCGATTATCTTGCTGTTTCCTCTTAAAGGTGCTATTCCCACATACAGCCTGGAGAGGGAAAACAACATTATTTTTTTTTCTTTTAATAGTAAAATATGTTTTCTGAGAAAGAACGTATAACTACATGTTATTTGGACTTGCTTCTAGTTTAGCAGAAGTCTGTGTTGTAGTTAAACTTGTGCGGTAAACAAGAGCTTGTCTTTGACTTGCTCAAGTGAGTATGTAGGAGAGTGCCTCAGTAATGAGAATAACATAGCGTTAAGGTACCTCTAATTTGCTTAGAAAAGCAGACTTTTTGAACAGTTAAGCAAATAAGCAGATGGAAGAATGTAGGCGTCTTCTGATGAGACTGAGGAGCCATTTGAAAGGCTTAAGTCATGACAGTTCTGTTAAGAGGCTGCACTGTTTATTTTGCATTGTCACACTGAGGAGTACCGTATTTTTCCATGGAAAATGTAGAGAAACATTCAGTTTGGAAAACTGTTCTGTGTACCACACACAGTTTCATTACTTTTGCTGGCCTCATTGTTATGGTCAGATATTCCATGCATAATATCTTTCGGATTTAACTCTTTATAAAACCAAGTAGCTTGGTCCTCTTCAAAAGATACTCTCATAAGGAGAGACAAGTAAAGGAGGGGAATTTCTTTGAGGAAAAAATACACCTTGGGTGAAAGTAATGAAACACGTTGTCAGAGAAGGGCTGACTCAATTTGTGCTCTTTGGGTGCGTTGATTTCCTCCTGTTACCTTATGCCAAAGCAGTAACGTTGTGATTCAGATCACTAGTGAGTAGGTGCAGTGGCTGTCCCCATTGGGTCAGCCTGGTTCAAATTACAACTTAAGAGGGTGGCTGTTATTATGGTGCTTACAAAACCTCTCCTGTGCACTCTATCTGCCCCATAGTCCACTGTAGTGTTACTAAATGTATGTGAAATAAATGTGAAGAGCCCTTTGGGATGTGTTCTTGGCACTGGTGGAAGACATAACTAATTTTTAAAAGTCAAACATAGACATTACTTTTTTTTAACTACAAGCTGTTACATGGAAGAGTATAAAGGTAAGAGGATGTCTTTTCCTCTGCTAAAACACTTGTCATAATTGTTTGTGTACCATGGGAGTATTTGTCACCAGGTCCAAGAAGAGAACTCTTGTTCCCTCTCTTGTTCGTTATTTAGAGAAGCTGGAGTAAAATACTGTGGTTCTGTAAAGTAGAACGTGTACTTCAGCTGTTCTCTGCGCAGAGTTTCTGCCACGCAGGTTCTCTGTGTAAAATGGACAGGAAGAGTCAGGCCTTCACAGAGGTGTGGGTTGTTTTTTTTTCTTAAGAGAAACCTCCTTGGAAAAATTGCAATGAATGAATGGAGGCTAGTGTTCAATGGAAACATGAGTGACTGTGCAGGGAAATGCTTATAAATATTCAAACCACCAAATGGTCAGTTACGATAACGCTTGTATAGTGTAACACCAAGCAGTTGCTGGCCACAGAAGGATTGGCTTCTGTTGCTTCTTTTGTTGTTCGTTTCAGATCAATTCTGTCAATAATTGAATGCATTTTTTAAGTCTGAAAATTGAATAAAACCGCACACGAAGGTATCCTGCAATTTCCTGTGACAGTCTGTCACTAATATTTTTCCTGACACAAGTCAGTGAATCTTCTAAATGGCTTTTCTTGCGGTTGTAAGACCACAAATGATTTTATATGGATGCAAAAAAAGCTTGAAATAACTTCTTTATTCTTCTCCCTGTAGGAATTGTAAATTAGCAGCATTCACATCATTCTCCACAGTGCTTTCAAATGATCTTGTCTTTTACATTAATTTAAATCTGAGGTAGATGTAGCGGTAAAATAACTGGATTTATTCCAGTACACGGAACAGGAAAACTTGGTTTACTCTCATTTTTGTTTCTTTTATAGTAAGAGCATTTTAATGGGCTACCTGTAAATTGTGAACTTGGCGTATGTTTGTTGGGTTTTGTTTTATAGTACTGAGTTTGATGTTAGAGATAAAAGCACTTAGAGGTTAAGTTCTAACTCCAGTCAAGCATTGCAATCTCTGGAAGAAATCCGTGGCAGCATATGATGCAGAAGATTGCACTGGATTATCATAATGGACCTTTCTGGCATTATGATCTATTGAGTACATTTTCATTATTAGATCAGGATAGCATGATGCTTTGGACTCCAAGAAACAGTAAGTAAATACATAAATCTTTGTAAATTCTCAAGAGACTGAGGTTTAGACCTGTATTTCTTCAATGACTAGTCTCCCATCAAAGACTGTAGTCCAGTCACTGTTCTTAAGGCTTTGGAGGCTGAAAGCTTAATATTCTGTATTGTAACAGATGTGTTTTAATCAACACGTGGTGAGTGAAGGGTAAAGTCTAAAACTCTGCAAATGCTTAAGAGGAGTTCTAATATTATTTTAAAATAAATAATAATCTGTGGTTTATTTATTCACCCTTTCTGTTAAACTGGTCTTTAATCAGTTATTTGCTGCTTCTATGAGATGTTTTCTGCTGTCAGTGTCAGTTCTTACTTCATGCTTGGGACTCAGTGTCTCTGCCTTGGAAGGAGCAATGTCATCTGAACCTGTGGCCATAAGGAGCTCTGTAAGGCTCTCTGGGTGTGGTAAGACTTTGCCCTTGGAGGCATTTTTAGACAGAGTCTAGGTGAGGTGTTGCAAAAATAATGCAGCACAAGCTGGAAAGAAAATGAAACAAAAGCAGCAAAAATTATAAGCAGCTACTCAACAGCATAGTTACAGCAAGGTTAAAAAAAATCATGTCAATTAGAATATGTATTTTGTTTTCTATTTTTAATTACATGGAGATATATGGTATGCATTGGCTAGATAGAGCTCAAGTAGAGAATGCATCTGGTAGTTTCACAGGAATTTTGAGACATGGTATTTTGGAATATTAGAGTCTATTAATTTAAAATGTTTGTTGGAAGATGAGGAGAAATATGACTTCACCTTGGAAATGTGATTCTTTTACTTGAGGTTCCTGTGTTTGACTGGTGCATTCATTAGAATCTGAACTGTCAGCACTGCAAATACATTTTTATATTATTGGCCTATTAGCTACAGCATTTACGTTGTACTTAACTATCTGGTTATTGCCAAATGCTCCTGCGACAGCCAATACACCTGCTGTGCTATTTAATGCATCAGCACATCCTGGTGTTCTGTAGATATAAGTGTTGACAGCTGTTTCTGGGGAAAAAAAAAAAAGGGGGGGGTGGGGGTGGAATTTAGCTTGGTAACACTGTTTCTTCACATACTTCTTAGCCAAAACACTTCAAGTACTCTGTGGATGAACTAATCCACAAAGTAGCCTGTTGGTTTGCTCAGCGGATGAGCAGAAACAGAATCTGAAATAAGTTCTACTTGTGTCTTGAGACATTTTTAGTAGAAAGAGGTTGAAGGGGGAATGTATAACCTTTCCTCATGGTGGGAAGGAATGATTTGGACTCAGTAAAATTAGATCAGGGATGAATTTTCTTCTCTCTGATACTAAAGGCTGCAGCACACCCTACTAAGCATAAAGCGTGGACTTTGCATTTAGTATTGCTACTTAACCCCATTTTCTTTTGTATATTTTCTTTTGTATTTATTCCTACACTAATATAACTTAAAAATTATTGCTGATTTTAACATTGGGGATTTTTACAGCTATGCCATTATAAAAATTCTTTTTATAGTTATCAAAAATATTTGAAATAACTTTTTTATTTCAGTGTAATCATGGTACTGTACTGAAGTCAAGCATGGAAAAAAAAAAACCCCACAACCGACATTTCAATAAACAGAATGGCCTTTTGTTATCTGAACTGAACAAACGTATGGTCATAAAGAGCCTCATCAATTTTAATAAGATATCAACACTATTCAGGAAAAAAACAGCATGTTGGAAGGGGTGTGTTTTGGGGAAGAAAGCTGCAAATGCAATCAATAAACTAAGCTGAGTAGGAATACAAGATTAGTACAGCAGTACTACAGGTGGTTTGCAAATAATTAAAAAAAAAAAAAATCAAACACACCCCTCTGTCTTCTGTGTCATCATATCTGAAGCAGTAGTTTGAAGCAGTGTTGCTTGCTGGGGATTCCTGGGCAGGGATATGATAGACCTACATGCCTGTTTCCATGTTAGATAAGCTGGTTTTAACTGTGATCCTATTTGAACTATGGCTTTTGTTCACCTCTGTACCAGTGTACCCCCATCATAGCTTGTGTGCTTCTACTCCTACACATTCTAGAGCTTGGATTTATATACACAAACCCATAAGGACAAATTCTTTAAGCCTAAATGTTAGTGCTTGTATATACATGCTCCCCTCTCCTACAAACGCAAACCACTAGATGCACACTTAAAAACCCCCCAAACATCTGCAGATCTGCATCTTGCTTATGTTGAAGGGTAAATCAAGTAAAGCTAAAATGCCTATTTTTTTCCCTTATAGTGGGCTTTATGTGTGTCTATATTGTATTTAGTGACAGTAAAGGAAAACATCATTAATGAAGTAATAATGCTCTTAGTCTTTCAAATTGCTGATACTACACCATGGCAATAAAATTTGTGTCCTTTCAATTTAGTTGGTTAAAGAGCAAGTGCTGATA